CCTCTAATGATGTCTGATATTGAGGAATCTGCCAAGCCTTTACACTGTCATAGCGATTAGTTGTTTAGTATTTGCTACTATAAGCAGGGGCAGGAACCACAGGAGGGATAGTTTTCTTTAGCAAGAGATGGTTTCTAAAGAGGGACTCAGAGAGCTGTCAACTGCCAACAATTCTAGTAGCTAACAAAATGAAGGTCACAGTACTGAATGAGTTAAGCAATCACTGTAGATGTGTGTCAGGAACATCAGAGCATCCATGTCCCATGGCCAAAGAGAACAATGAATCAAAATACATATGAACTTGAGATGATAATGTAATTCTAATAAGTAGATGAAGAAACTGTTTTAAATGCCAGCTGCTGCAATTATGGAAACTTCTGAAGATGAGAGAGGAAAACACTAGAAGAAAAGATAAAGAAATTATCTCAGGGAACTTTCCTTCCACTTAATATTCCTCCCCTGAAAGTTAGATAAGGCTGCAAACTTCCTGCCCTTACTTATTTTAACCAAAATGGTTCACAGCCAGTGTATTATTTGGGGTTGTCTAAGGGCATGTGTGTGTGTGTGTGTGTGTGTGTGTGTGTGTGTGTGTAATTCATTAGATTGGTTTGCACAATCAGACACCATATGGGCCCACTGTAGCTCCCTATAGGCTGATGAGCAGAGAAACCAGTAGCTTCTTGATGCATGAAGCAGGACAAGAGGGACCAGTGATGGAGTCCGAGGCCCAGGATGACCCTCGAGGCTTCCCAGAGAGCTGCTGTTACCTGCACTGGATCTGATGTTGAAGGGTGAAGTTGGCTGAAGAAAATGAGGCCCCTGATCAAGAACAGTGGAACTTGTATCTGTGGAGTTTCCTCCTTTTTTCCCTTTTGTTTCATCCAGGTCCCCAGTCTACTGAATTTTACCCATGTCCACAACAGGTCTTCCTCTTCAGCCTGTGGAGGTGGACCCATGTGTCAATCATCTCTGGAAACATACTCATAGACACAACTGGAAGATAGATTTTTCCACGTTCTAGGTACTGCTCCATTCAGGTAAGTTGACACACAAGGTTAACTACAAAATAGCGTTTTCACAGAATGGAAAAGTTAAATTTTAAAACTTTTACTGTCTATCTCATTTCACAACACTTTCAATTTTCGAAATGCTATTCCATATAGTTTGGATTTGACTTTTACAATAAATCCCAGTTTATCAAGGTCACAAATAAGCATTGGATATTTCTGAACGTTGGCTAAATGTTTTTAAAGACAGCAACAATTTTTTCGTTGCTCAATGAGGTATTGGCCTATCACAAAGCCTGAAGGAATGACAGTCAATAAATATTAAATACATTTCCTCAAGGTATTCGTAGTTGTGTGGTATATGTTCTTTTTAACTTACATAATTCATGTGTGTTTGTATTTGGGCAAATTATCTTCAGCTTATTTCATGAAGTGAGCTGATAGGTGTTGCAAGTTCTTTTTGAAGAGGAATATTAGAAATATTTGGAACTAACTGATCTGCAACCATTGTCCTTCTGGTCAGTCTTAATGGAAATAAATTGATCCTAGAGTAGGTCTCATGATCAGTTGAAGCCTGTGTTTTGGGAAAAAGAATATTCCAAAGAGCATCCAAAATTGCCTAATGCTAGACTACATGGGGGAAAAAGCCATGTGGAAATCTGAATTTTTATTGTATTTCTAAATTTGTGATATTGAATAACTTTTCAGATGTGAAATTAAAATGACTCATAAGTCTTACTTTTGAGTATGGTGATAACAATATAATATTCATTCAAGCACTGTAAACTATTAAGTTGAGAGATGAGCTGTCTCACCAATGCCTACAAAAAATTAATGTGAAACACCTGATATTTGACTCTCCTTCCAGATGGAGGGACAGCTTGACAAATGTCATCATAATTTACAACATTTTAAAAGTGTGGTGTGAATGCATTTCCAGGAGCTTACATAGCTTGAATTATTTACAGGTACAACTGTGTTTAATGTCGTATTTTGATGGATTTAAAAGATTATTAGATATAATCAGTGATCACAGGCTATAGGTGTGGTCTGTGAGCAATGCTATTACATATCTTGATTGAACATTTCAGAACAGGGTGCATCTGCTTGGAGTTGGGGATTGGCTGTCACTCCTCTAACTCTTACCATTAGGAGTTGGGGAAAAACTTGTTTTGGGTTTATCCTTCCCTGGGGATTTAGAAAACTAATAACCGGAGAAAGGAAGTATGGAAACACAGTGTGCAGTTCTTAGGAATAACTTTAATGCTGGTACCCAAGTGTAGAATCTAAAATTTAAAAATTATGACAACAATATACAAAAGGAGACTATTTGGAAAATGAAGAGGACCCACTAGAGGGAGGAGGGAGTTTGTGAAGAGGGAGTAATGAGGGGTGAATATGATCAAAGCACACAATACACATTCATGAAAACAATCAATGAGATCCAACAGTTAATACAATGCAAAAGTCAGGTAGAGCGTTGATTGCTAATTGATAATATTTACATTATAGTGTCACCTGAGAAAGCACAAAAGTCCATATCCCTGAAGGTCAGCAAAATGAGCACTGAGTCGTGATTAAACTGAAGGAGTTATATGTAACTGTATATATCATGTATATTACAGATTAATGTAAATGTTGGCCTAAGGACACATGCATTTATATGTGCGAAGGATGTATACATCATTTCTCAATGTATGAGTATGGATATATGTAATATAGAACTCAGGCTTATGTGTGTGACAAGTGTGCATCTCCACAAAGACATAGATGGCTTTAGAGTGCTGGCATTATGCTGGAGGGAATGTATAGGTATTCAGAAATGCAAGATCATTTGGCTTTGGAATAGTATCCTTGAAAGGGGAAGTAGTTAATCTGAGACATTTTAACTATAACTCCACTGTGACTTCCTTCTGCTCAGTCACTAGAACCCTGAGAATACATAACGAAGTGAAACTAAAGTTCCCTTAATGAACTCCTTAATTCAGCATCTACTCTGTTCCTTCAGTCACACGATGTACTAAATCTTTTATGTTTTAACCCCAGGCTAGGAACAAAATTCTCAGTAGAGAATCAATACAGACAGGGGCTTTCTTTCTCTGGAACTTTCAGCCTAAGTAGAAGATGTATGAAACAAGTCACATTTGAATAAACAGGCAAACAAATTTTGATGAAACAATTTAAAAAATAGTGTGTTATAAATCGAAGAGATAGGGTGGTTCTAATTTCTATCAATGACCAGAATGAGCTAGAACTTGAGGATTAGTAGAAAGGAAAACAGTTCCTTGTGGAGGATAATGGGAAAAATGGGAGAAATGATTGAAGGATCAGAAGACTGCTTAGTGCTTGGAACATGAGTCAGGGAGATCTCAGCCCCAAGAGGGGGAAGAAGACAGGAAGAAGAGCAAGTTACACAGAGGGTGGGGCACTAAAGAGTAAATTATCTCTAACCACAATGGCTCATTGGAAAGATTGATGGGGGAATCCTAGGGGGTCAGTTCGTCTGTTAAAGTTCAGTCTGCAGTGCAGTGGAGGTGACAGAAGGGGAAATGCCAGCGCCTTGAACCATGAACATGAAGACAAGTGATTCAAGACATGGTTAGAACAACAAATCCTTACCTCTTTAGGAAGGATAATGGGTGAGAAGGAAGTCAAGAGTGATTCAGGCATTCTATTCAACCTTCCAGTTTCTTATAATATTTCACTAAAAAAAAAAAAAAATGTATCCAACCTCTGGAAAGTCCCAAGTTCTTGAAGGTAAGCTGGTGTTTTGTATAGATAAGGCTTCTCCAATGACTCAAGGAACCCTTGCCCTAGCTGTGCTCTGTCCCACTACTCTTTCATTTACCAAGCAGACTTCACAGTTTAATATGAATCTTGTTGCCCAGATACTGATGGGCCTTCTTGAAGGCTATATCTAGAAAATTCAACATGCTATCAAAACACTGAAAACAGTCAATAAAGAAAAAAATACAAAGCAGTGAGAGGGAAACACTTGCCTGCAAAGTTATCACAATCTAACCAATGTAGTGAAGTGCCCTGTATCATTTAAAAGAAGTCCAAATGGGGAAAAGGATAGCTCTGGAGCCCAGGCATCCTCAAAGATGAGGTGAATGTTTTCTGATTTGGGACTATATCTAAAGATATCATTACCTCTTCCTAGCAACCTCTAGAGAAAAACAAAAACAACTCTTGTTTTTCAGGAGCTTCACATTTTAGAATAATAGTATGTTTTAAAATATAGGCATGGGGAGTTGGAGAGATGACTCAGCAGTTAAGAGCACTGACTGCGCTTGCAGAGGCCTGGGGTTCAGTTCCCAGTTCCCAGCACCCACATGGCAGCTAATAATCGTTCATAAATCCAGTTCTGGGAAATCCAATGTCCTCTGCAGGCATTGCACAACACTGGTGCACTTACGTACATGCAGACAAGACACTTATAGACATAAAATAAAACTAATAAATAAAATATTAAAAAATATAGTCCATGAAGTGGACTGTCATACAAAAGCAACACCTTGATGATGTGACAGATACTGGTGTCTTTCTTCCGTGCCTTTTAGGGTCTCCTAGACGCAATCCTCTACAGTCCCTCTAAAGTCTTGCTTGTCTCTTTGCTGACTGACTGAAGAACATTAACTAGCTGGTCCCTGGAGAGTTCTGGCAGCTCCGGTTGCACTTTAGACCCTGTTTCTGCACCTCCCAGGCTCTGGACTCAGGAGGAACCCAGGGGAGCAATTGGCTAATGGTGACACCCACTGTTTTTGTGGTTTTTTTTTTTTCAACCTTTAATCCTGGAGATCCCTGACTCTGGCCCAGTCTCCCGAGCTCAGCCTTGGCTGGTTTAGGGAGCTTAAGCCAGTCCTTCCTGCCAGCTGCAGGGAAAGGAGCCAAACAGTTTAGGACAGGGATTGGGCGGGCCTGCTCCGAGGCTGGCCTGGCACGTGGCCCCGCCCAGGGGCGTGTCCTCCGCCCCCGCCCCGCCCCCGCCTGCAGGCCTCGCTCCTGCAGTGTGTGCGCCCGCACTCCAGCTAGCTGAGGCTTCTGCACCCGGCTGGAGGCTGCGGTCACCCAGGGAGGGTCTGCGCGCGGGAGACCAAGGTCGGGACGAGCTGCCATGGCCCGTATGCTGAGCAAGGACGCGCCGGACATCGAGGTACCGGTGTCCCCTGCGTGGGAGGGCCACAAGGCTGGGGAGGCGGGAGGCCTCGACGGCCGTCGCGCTCCGGACACGGAGCACCCACTGTGCATGTAAAGTTTCCCAGGCCGGGACCCACTGGCCGGTGGGAGCAGCGCAGGACTTTCCGGGACCCGGTGCGCCCTGGGACCGGAACCTGGTCGTTTGGCAGGGGATTTAAAGGTAGTATTCTCGCTCCGCTTAAGTCACTGAGAGCAAGAAGCTAGGGAGTTCAGAGGCGTGGATTCCAGGAGCCAGGAGTGTCCATTCCACCCGTGCACCCCCCAACCTCCTCCGTCCCCTCCATGGCTTGGGGGGGAGCTCTCCCCCCCCCCCCCCCCCCGGCTGCAAAAGTGGACTATGGAAATCAAAGATCAGAGTCCGCTGTCTCCCCAGCCACGGTATTGTTTGTAATGTAATTTCACCCAGGGAAGAAGCGAAGGAACTGTACAATGAAGAGTAGCGTGTCCGGGAAAAGCATGCGTAAACTCCCTGCTCTCCAGTGTTTCATTCTCTCTTGCACTGGGTTTCTGTAAAAATGTGATCTTTCTGTGAGTTCTCCTCCTTGGCTTTGAGCTTTTCGTGGTACCTGATTAAGTGTGTGCGTGTTGGCAAAAAGATTGACTTATAAATGTGATTTTAGTCAGGCTAATGCAAGGTCAGCGTACTGTACAGTGGTTTCTGTACTCTATTGTTTTGGGGTTTTTCTTTCAGTTTCTTATTGTAGAATATTTGCCGTGTGTGTGTGTGTGTGTGTGTGTGTGTGTGTGTGTGTGTGTGTGTGTGGTGTAGGAATAACAACACCCCCCCTCCAGTTCTTTTGATGACATAAAAGTTTGAAACCACCTGTTTGCAAGATAGCTGGCTTTGCCACATTTTGCCTGTCACTGATCAAAGAAACTTTGTAGTCTCATAGGGGGAAGCTAGGAGTGCTTTCTCCAGACACCATACTCCAAACTTTCTTTAGAAAAATCATGTTTTACTAAAACTTATGTTTTAGTAACAAGAGCATATGGGTAGCATATGAAATTCTCTATGTAGTTTACTTGGGATTTCTCCTTTTTATTTTATTTTTTGGTATTGATCATTATGATTGATTTAATAAACTATTCATGTGTGTACAGGGTAAAAGATACCATGTCTGATTAAAGCCAGTCCTTTTGGGTACTTGTGAACTTTTACCTCTCCCACTACCCCCATGTCCCATGTTTCTTTTTCTTTTTTTTTTTTTTCCCCCAAGGCTAAATAAAATGCATTAGCAAACTTGTATCGGCGTCCAGGTCCTGCTGATTTCAGAAATCAGAGTGTTAGAGAGTGGGTGGCTTTTGGCATCTGCCTGTTGAATTTCAGAATAATGCTACCAGTTTAGGTCTCATTCTCTACATCATTCTGTGTAAGACAGATCTCTCCTATATTCCTAGGGGAAGGTGAGGCCAGGCAAACATAAGGTGTCCAGCTTCATTTGTATATGGCTATATCTAAGAACACTTAAGCAGCTTAACCTCGCCGCTCCATTCACCTGAGTACAGCCTAGTGCGTGGGGTTTGCCTGATCGTCCTTAGTCTGCCTGATCATCCTTATAACCCAGAGTGGTGGCATTCACACTCAGCTTTTATGTGGCTCATGGATGCCCCACATTTTAGTCAGTAGCACCTTTTATCACTCACAATACTTTACTTTTCCCTCAAAGTAATACCTGTGATTCATGAGCTAAAAATACCATGAAAGAGCGTGAAATTAATCATTAAAATATAATGCAGCGAGGAAAAGCACATTAGGCTGAGGGGAGCACACTCACGCATAGATGTCTCTTTAATCCTGTTAATTTACCCCAGTTCGCTTTGTGTGGAAGAATCAGAAAAAATTAAGAAGGCTTAGTTCTCTCTCAAATTTGAAAGCTTTCTTGAGTATATTCTTTAAAAACCGTTGTGTGGAGATTGATCTGAGTGTTATCGTTGTCTTTGCCCCCCAGTACACAAAGAAGCAGGTAATTAAACAAAAATTGGTGTGAAATAGATGTGATAAGAGTACACTGATAAAATACTTGATATTTGAGAAAAGATCCTGGGGTGATGGTAATCCCTACGCTAATGTAATTTAATTATCCATTTGAACTACCTGTAGAATCTTGGGTTTCACAAGCAGCCAAGAAATAGTTTTTCTTTTCAGGGTCAAAAGTTATCACAGGTTGGGGGTGCAGGGCTAGAAACATAGGGAAAAATCAGGTCACTGAACTCTGCTTCTAGAATATTCCTTGGACCTGAAGACAGGCATAGAAAGGAAGTGCTGAGTGCTGGCTGAAGGTAAGACCTAGGCTATGTAAGGAAGTATTGCTGTCTTTATAGTAATTGCAGGAATGATCCTAGAGGCCAAGCCTTGTTCTTCAGATGCATGAATACTGCTCAGAGCCTGGCTCTGGAGCCAACTGCAGGGACTGAGATTGAGTTTTGCTCTTCAGCTGTATGGCCCTGTCCAAGTTCCTATCTTCCCCAAGCTGTGCTTGCATGATCTGTTAGTGAGGAAAATAATATTACTATGTATGATCAACACATGCCATAATAGCAAAGCTTCTTATCAGGACAAAGCACCGATATTAAAAAAACAAAGGTGAAGAAAAAGACCATATTCTCAGGAAAAGCATGGTTAATACTCCAAAGTTCATTAATGGCCGCTATGCAGTTTCCAACATTATTTTACTTTATGGGCTTACTTTTCGAATACAGTCTATTTTGCAAAGGATGACATTAAAATAAAAGCTCTCCCGGGAAAGTTTCAAAGCAGGTGAGTATTGGCCACTGATCACTTTCCCTGAGCTCAGCAGTAATTTGACAGTACTTCATTTAGATTGAATCCCCAGTCAATATGATGTCAATATTTGCACGTTTAAAGCGAAGAAGAATGCTCTTTCCTGAGTTCGCTTTTGTTCAATATCTTGTTCCCCTTCACTGACAAAGATAATTGAGAATGGACCAGGAAACTATACTGTTGAAGCTTTTAACTGTTTGTGTATTAGTTGTTTTGGTAATTACAGCTAAGCTAAGATGCCGCTTATCCCTCTGTAGCCCCCACAACCACAGTTAAGTCCATCACTTGAATTACCACTTGAGAGCTCAGATTGGCCCCAAATAAAAGAATTCCAGTCAACTGTCCATGAGATTTAGTGCATTCTGAGTCAAATAGAAATGGCTGGTGACTTCTATTCATTTGAGAAATTTTTTTTGTACTTGCTAGTTAAGAAAATAAGTTTTAAAAATTGGGACTTTGGAAAATGGAAAAAAGAGAAATTACTAGGAGAAAGTATATTTTAAGGATAGTTGATAAAAAAAAGAAGACATAGGTTCCAGATTGGCAAAATATGTTTCAGAACACCCTTTATTATAATTTGACCCTGGGGAGGGAAAAAAGAATGAAAGGAGAGAATTAATGTTCAACTTTATAGAAGCCATGAGATATTTATTAATTTATTAAATTTATACTTTTTACTAAGTATATAATAGTCCTTTCCTCTGTCCTTGTCTTCATTAATTGTGTACCATAGAATTTGTGGAAAGTTAAACTCAATTGATTAAGGTTTTTACTTCAAAACATTTTTAATGGGTTTTAATATTGAACATGGTCTTTACCTCCAAATTTTCAACTGAACTGTGAAGCATGTTTAGTTTTTAAAAATATTTATTCTTTTTATTTTATGTGTATGAGTGTATTTCTTACATATATGTAAGTGCACTTGTGTCTTGAAATGTCTGTGGAAGTCAAAAGATCACATTGGAGCCCCTGGAACTATTATAGATGACTCTAGCTGCCTTGTGAATGCTGGAATTCAAACCTGGGTCCTCTGCAAGAGCAGTCATTGTTTCTAACCATTGACCCATCTCTCTAGTCCAGCACACTTAGTTCTAAAGAGTTTCTCCTTTGCAAGGAGTTTACTTGGGCAGTTAAAAAATATGTTTCTCATCATCTGATTTGAACCATGACTAATTGCACTGATAGTCTTCTATTTAGCAGACACAGGTTTCTGTAACTGAACATGCTTATGTGTATTTCAATCCAGTGGTTTTTAAAAATTTTGTCTCTTGTCCATGTATACAGAGGATTCGTTTTAGTAGTTTAATTAAAAACTGTAAGATTAATGACCAATGATGAATTTGTTTACTTTTAATGATAGCAAATAGTGTTGATGGATTGCCTAACTCTAACATGTACTAGAATTCTATAGCCTCTGTCCATACATTCTAGAGGAAAGATTTGCATTTGGGAATCTCTGATGGCAGAGAATTAACGAGGAAGCTAAGGCCTGGAGACAAATGCTGGGGTAACATGGTCTTTAAACACTCTAGTAGTGGCTGTCTATGACTCTACATAAACAGGTCACAAAACATGGGGTGGAAACCAGACTCCTCACCCCCAGGAAGTTAATGGCATCCATCACACTGAGAGATTTCCCCAAACAGAAGCTCAGGTCCAAGAAATAGGAACACTTACAGGAAAAAACAATGAGACTGAAAAAAGGTTGTCATAAAAATGACAAAGAACTGTGAGGAGACCATTGATACACTCCAAGTTCAGTGTGGCCAAAGAGGAAACTGAAAAGTAGGATTCCCTTACAGATTTTCATTAGCTACATGGATATAGTAAATATGCAGCAGAGTCTTATGAAAACTGTAAAGAAGGCTGGGAAGATGGTTCTATGCTTACCACATAAACACGAGCATCCAGGTTGGATTCCCAGAGTCCAGTTAAAAAGTCAGCACTGGGGAGGTAGAACAGGAAGACTGCAAACCTCCATGAGCAGGAGTGAGAGGCCCTGTCTCAGAGAACAAGGTGAATGGGGCTGGAGAGATGGCTCAGCAGTTAAAGGCACTGGTTGTTCTTGCAGAGGACCCAGGTTCTGTTCTCAGCACGTACATGGTGGCTAACAACCACCTGTAACTCCAGTTCCAGAGAATCTGAGCCCCTCTTCTGGCCTACATGGGCACCAG